TCAACTTATCTGCGGTCAAACACAACAATTCTACGTATATAATTTGCTTTATAATTTTTCTTGGGATTTTTTTGTAAATATTTTTATATTAATTCACAGAATTAATCACTTTAAAAATAAATAATAAACATTTAAATCTGAAACGTGATTTATTTTATATGAAACAGAACCTTTGGGATTTTTATGGCCAAGTATAATTAAAAAATACAAATGTTTATAATATTGTTTGTTAATGTAGTAAAAAAATTATATATTCTGACCACTTGAGGTATTATAGTATAGTATTGTAAAACAATCAATAATAAAAATTAATAAAATCTTTTTGTCTAAAGGAGCTCATATATTTTATATGTAGTAAGTCAAATAGAAGTTAAAAATTTGAAATTTATTCATAAATATATAATTTATTGCGACTTTAAGAATAATCGAAACATGTGATAGAACTTATTAAAGTTTCATTAATCATCATGTTATTATTTCTTGTTATTATTAAAGTTTAAGTTAAGAAGATTGCAATACAAAGGTAGTTTGTAGCTAACTACAATTGATGACTACAGTAGTTGACTACAGTAGAAGACTGCAATAGTTTGATTACAGTAATTGATTACAGTAGTTGATAACAGTAATTGACTACAGTAGTTGACTTCAACACTTAACTGCAGTAGTTGACTACAATAGTTGACTACAGTAATTAACTGCAATAGTTGACTACAATAGTTGACTACAGTAGTTGACTACAGTAGTTGACTGCAATAGTTGACTACAATAGTTGACTGCAATAGTTGACTACAAGAGTTGACTACAGTAGTTGACTACAATAGTTGACTACAATAGTTGACTACAGTAGTTGACTACAATAGTTGACTACAATAGTTGACTACAGTAGTTGACTACAATAGTTGACTACATTGGTAGACTACAATAGTTGATTAGAGTAGTTGACTACAATAGTTGACTACATTAGTTAACTACAATAGTTGTCTACAGTAGTTAACTACAATAGTTGACTATAGTAACTGAATACAATAGTTGACTACAGTAGTTGACTACAATAGTTGACTACAATAGTTGACTACAACACTTGACTACAGTAGTCGACTACAGCAGTTAACTGTAGTTGACTACAATAGTTTACTACAATAGTTGACTACAGTAGTTGACTACAGTAGTTGACTACAATAGTTGACTACAGTAGTTGACTACAATAGTTGACTACAGTAGTTGACTACATTAGTTGACTACAATAGTTGACTACAGTAGTTGACTACAATAGTTGACTACAGTAGTTGACTACAGTAATTGACTACAGTAGCTTACGTTATACAACTCTGTACAAACATTGTTAATAGCAGAATGGAAAAAAACCTATATAATAAAGTAATTGAAGTTATACTTAACTTTATTCGAAGAAATCTTTAGTTTAAATGCTTGTAAAACATCTTCCATTTAGTGCAACATCCTTTCATTGTCTATTAAAAATTTAACCTTAATGTGTTGAGAATAATTAAATTTATACGTATATGTATAAGTCTTAAATTGTTTATTTAAATTAATTTGAATGAATATGTTTGGGCTACAAGTCCATTTAAGTTGGCAAATATGCTTTCAAAGTAGTTTGTCGAGCGAGAAGGGCGAGCAGCTTTTAAATCATTTAAAGTGTTTTTTTCTACACAAATCAATTTATTGCCAGAAGCATGAGTCTTCCGAATACCATGTGTCGGTAATTGAAAGGTCAAAAGAAATTTTCGCACAAAAAAACACCATTTGAATGAAACAATTCCAAGTCATTTAGATCTCAGCTATAAATTGTCTATTAAGAGTTGCCATATAAGCGCTGCTTCATGCTGAATAGTACCAATTCCGTCCACTTCAAACAGGTTCCATGTATTATCACTTGACTTTAACTGAACTTTTTTTTGATTAAAAACAAGAAAATATTTAATTCGATTTAAATACTCGTAATATAAATATGCATAAAAATACGAGTATGAGTATATTAAGAGCTGAATAGCAGCGTTTAATTAAGAGACTCGTTGATAATGCATTGACTCTGAAAAAAATTTACGCGCCCCATTATTATTTAATAGAACTTTTTACGACTATTTCAAGGCCTAGACAAGTAATCCGAAGCAATATGAGACTTGGATTCATTTTTAATTTAAATTATAAAATGAAACTATCTCATTCAAATATTCTTAGTGCACCGAGCTATCAACTGTTCTGCTTACTCGTGCCTACTTAGTCACAGCATAGGCAATCCGCCAATATTCCTACCAGACTGTAAAAAATATTTTATATACGCTTTTTGCTTTTGATAAGAATTTAAAATAAAATCAAAATCTTGATTATTAAAAATTTTTTAAATTTTTAACGAGAAGAAAAAACGTGTTTATTTAAATTTTATTAAAACTTTTTTCCACTTTGATTCACGTTTTTCTTCGTATATGTATACATCGTATATGTTATATGCATTTTATTTTTATTTTTTTATTATTAAAACAAGTTGCATAAATTAAGTCTATAAAAAATCAAATTTGTAAATTTTAAAAGATACATTTTACATACGAGTCGAGTCATGTGGCTTTAAGTGTGAATATTTAATTCTAGTTTTATATTTTGGTTTAGATTTGTGGGTTTATCGTTTCTCTAGGGAAGTACTTCTCTATGCAACAACCTCAAATTGTTCAATACAAACCACTTCGCATAACATAATAATTACTAGAATTCATTTAAATTTGGTCAGGTTTTCTCTTGTCATAAATAGATTTTCCCTTTCTTTGTTGCTCAAGAAAAATTTAATATTTAATTTAGCGTTTAATTATAATTGCAAAAATTCCTATAAATGTGATTGTTACGATTACTTTGCGAATATATTTACACTTTTTACACTTTTTACCCTTTATATTGATTTATTTAATTTATTTATAGTTATTAATAGTAAAATCCAAAGAGTTTACTTTGAAAAATTCTTTTTGAATGAATAATTTTTTAAATATACATTTATATTAATAATTAGCATTCGTTAATTAGATGGATCATTGGCTTCCCTTAAATTAATTATCATATAAATGAGATCATTTAATATGATATTTTATGAATAATCGAATCAATTGTAATTGCCGCTTTACCAAGATAGTTGAAGTAGTTTAGTTCCGATTAACTGCTGTATATCGAAAGAATTCATCTGAAAAAAAAACTATTTCCATAACGCCTTTAATCGACGATATGTGAGTCAAAATTTTAATCTAAAGACTCTAAAATTTGTTTTAGAGCAAATAAGATGACCTGTAAGAATGATCTTTTTATGTTTTTGATGAAACACTGAATATCTTTAATTATCAAAGTTAGTAATAATAATCACATAATATCTAAATAGGCTTTGACACTGTGAATTGTGTTTTAAGTATTAATTTTGGTGGATTCATTTTTAAGGCCACACTGAATAAGTACAAATAGCTATAGATAATATCTATAGAATACAAATACAAATAGCTATAGATAATATCTATAGCTATAATATAGATAATATCTATAGCTATTTGTATCTATATCTATTAGCTATGTAACAGAATTCATGTTGGAGGGCGTTAGATTTATTAAAAAATTTAGTTCATAACATCATCTCGACTCTAGGAAACCCTTCTTATGTATTAAATAAAATTGCTACAAATTGACTATACCAATCTATACAAATTCTATATTAATATGACCCTGTATAAACTGTTAAAAAAATTACCATGTTTTTGTATGATTTTGTTATTGTCTTAATGGAATAAATAATTTTTAAGTAAATTTTATAATTAAGAAAAAAAATGTTTATTAAACAATCGGCTGTTCTGGCAATCGCAATTGATGGCAAAACTTAATACTTTTTAAATTGTTTTTTTTTTCTTTTAATTGTCATCAATTTCAGTATTTACGTAGTGTTTTAGACGATTTTTTAATAATTTTTAATAAAAACGAAATTTTATTTTATTCTTTCAAGGAACTTCAATTCTCAAAAACGTTCGTTTTCAATCAACTTTTGTTGCTTCTGGTTCGCATGTGGTGAAATAATGATAAAAAAAATTAGAAAATTCTTTGTTTTTAATATTGTTTATTACACTTTTACTAAATTCAATAATTTATTGCGTATAGTTTTTGTTTTTTGTATATAATTAATAATTTTTCTGTTTTTACTTTTTAAGTAATATTTTCAGTGTTTTCTTCACTTTCCGATCATCAATATGATCAACATATACTTATTGGCTTAATAAAATTTACAATTTATTTAAATTATTATTAAGTAGTCAACTTTTTCATTATGCTATATAAATATAATTTTTCATTTATTATATAAATATATATAATTCAACAATATTATATAATTTTAAATAGTAATAATGATACTCGTTTGTGTAAATACATAAGTTAAACAAGAACTTTTGTTGTTGTTCGCAATTTTCATTTTTTTACACAGTTTAGTTGCTTCTCTCAGTTTTAAAATTGTTATTAATTTTTTTTATATATAGTTTTTACACACAATTTTACTAATAAAATTAAGCACTCATATTAAAAACAATTCACATACATAAATATATGTTTATATATTTAATTAAAATCAAACATACCAACAAAAAGACATAAAAATTTGTTTAGTTTTTCTGTCACAACTGTTTTTTTAGTTGTTGTTATTATTATTATTGTTGTTGTTGTTGCAGTTGTTTTTATTTTAATTTGCGTCTTACATTTTATTATTACAAAATAATAAAATACAATTAAAACAAAATGAAAACATTTAAAACAATTAAGTAAAATCTAAGGCCAATATAGAGAGAGTAAAATTATTTAATAAAAAATTATGTACTATGCTTTATTTATGTTTATATATAACTAAAAAATATTTATGTACATACAATTGTAATTAGTAAATGTAAAAATTTAAAAATTAGAAAAAAAACTTAAAAACTTAAAAGCTAAGAAAAATAAAAATAATAACAATAATAATAGTAGTTTTTACTTTTTCTTTCGCTATAAAAAATTATGTACTATGCTCTCAAATACAATATTGTTTTTACATATTTACATATGTAAATATCCTCTGTACGTGAGTGTGTGTGCGTTGCACTTACATAAGTAAAATTTACTAAAGGGCATTTATTTTGCTTCAAGCAATTCTTAAAGGACATGTCTTTTACAGCTAAAAATAAAAACGTTCATTCTCATCAATTTAACTATAAGTACCAATTTTTTATAAGTTCAAAATGATTTGTAATTAATTAATTTATAATAAATTCTTCTTCAATCAATAATAATTTGAGTAAATAATTTGAATGGTACTGTACTGTACGTACTGTACGATTTGCATTCAAGTTTTCATCATCAGTTTTCAGAGCATGACGCAATACCTAAAAATTGCTTAAAATTAATTCTTTCTCTTTTTTAGCATACAATATATTCAATTTTTGAAGGAAACTATTTTTAAAATAAACTATTTTTCTAATTAATTTTATACTTTGTTGCTTACTTTTTCACATTATCCTCTCTGCAGGCTACGGCCGCTACCAGCGCAGCACCACGTCCTGAACCATCTTCGGACAACATTAAATCAAAACTAATGCCAGGTTTCACCAGCTGAGAAATTTTTTCTACCATTAAATTGTGGAATTTGGGATGGAATCGATATACACTGCCGTCAACACCAACAGTTACGCTGGGCTCATCCATTTTATTGATTAGAGTGGCAAGGCCGCATGAAACTAAATGCGCTGCACGTTTCGACACACATTCGCAGATGTAGCGTACGTTGGCACAATCGTCATCTGTGGCATTATTCAAACCCAATTCCTCCAGTACTAGGCGGCAATTGGTGTATGTGCCAGGCTCATCAGCTTCGATTTCTGATACATATTTTGTAAAGAATTGACCGCGTGTCATCAGCACATCAGAGTTCTGTCCTCGGAATAGCACACCAGCTTTAACCATTTTTACAATAACCAATCGTACCAATTCACCCATATACATGCCGGAAATCATTTTCTCAAACACTTGTTTACCTGGATTGATTGAGTGTGAATCTACTTCTTCATCGAATTCCGTACGCACAAAGTTAAGTGCGCCATTATCGCCGAAGGCACCCCATTCAGTATTGATTAGTACATGTGGTTTGCCGTTGTCTTCACCGTCATACAATTCAACTTCCTCAACACGCTCAACGTAACAAACATTACAGCCGGTACCAACAATCAAACCAATTTTGCAGTTATGATTTTTCCATGCACATGACATGAGCGTACCAGTGGTATCATTTAGTATAGCACATACATCGATCTGCACATCTCCACGCCGCGCTATAGCATCTTTTAATAATTGCACAACATCTTCATTCACTACACCAGAACAATCGAAACCTTTTGTCCAAGTCACGAGTAGGCCTTTTGTCAAGCCCAACTGCAGTAACGGAAATGAAAAAGTGAAACCCAGAGGCAACCGCTCCTTGTAAACATTGTGTTCAGACATAAAATTGGCCAAACATTCAGCAATGTGATCGAACAGTTGTTGACCCGAACCCAACATTATATGTTGTGGAATTGCGTATATGCGTGATTCCATTTGAAAATCATGATCCTCTTTCAATTGTATAAGCAATACACGGAAATTGGTGCCGCCAAGGTCAAGTGCTAAGAATTTTCCACGTTCATTGCCATTTGGCAGATCTTGTACGTACGTAACGAAGCACTTGACATTCGCCTTGTCGTGTGTGTCCTTACGTAAACCTTTTTTGACTTCGTGCAAAATACGATAGTTGAGTTCGAGTATTTGCTCATCTGTGAGTATTAATTGCTGACATAATTCGTGAACCATTTTGTATTTTTCCGCTACACTTGCGTTAGCGTAAGGCGGTATTTCTTCAGGTGTTGGTGATGTTGCTTGCACTGACTTATATGATAAACTGGATGCAATGACTGGGGTGCCGTTGGCACTTACACCAGCGTGGCTAAGTATTCGAGCGTTGTCTGTTTCGTCTCTGGTCGCGTTGGGGCAGCTTTCGTTGCAAATGCAATTCTTCACAGATTTTGTGCCGTTGCTTTGGATGTGATCAATGGGAACTTTGTTGTTTGCCATTGCAGTTGACTTTGTTGCGACATTACAACAGCCATTGGTACTATTAATAGATACGTTTTGCATAGCGCCATTCAAATCTTTATCCATTTTTAATATAGTTTTACTAATTGTAGTTTTGCGCACAAAAAAAAAATTTATTTATACCAAAAAATGTTTTTTTTTTCTCTTTTATTTTTTGTCTTTTTTATGTTTATAGTTTTTACTTTACACTTTTCGCAGCTTTCAGTTTTCAGTTTTTTATTTTAGTATTTTAGTATTTGCAAATTTATTTTTCGCAAAAGTTTTTCTTTTAGTTTTAGTTTTGGTTTTGGTTTTTATTTAATTTTCACACTTTTCGTATTTAAAAGCTCTTTGTATTCTGTATTCTGTATTCTTTTGTTTAAAAACAATTTTCATAAATGCACAAACTGAATGCTTGATTTTCCTTCTACAACTGTTATTCAATGTCTGAAAGCGTATAAATTTTTAGTTTATTTCCCGCTTGCCATCCGTTGTGTTTAAACGCTTGCTTCGGAATCAAATCGCTTTGCTGCTGTTTCAGTTCAGTATGTTGTCGTGTACTTTAGAGGAACCTTGAAGGTCAAAATTGTCAATTAGTATATGCTGGTAAAGAGAATGGAGAAAATATTTTCTATACTATATATGCATATATACGTATATATCTGGTATACACGCTAAACGCAAATAAATGCTTACGCGCTAAAGCTTACACTGACTAATATATATCAAATACTAACCTGCTTCACTGTTATACTGTTATAACAGTTAATATTCGTACGTATAAGCGTTTGAGCGTTTGCTGTAACGGTATAAGATATACCGGGAGGTGTGGTGCGTTCTGAGAGAGCGTTGTGTGAAGTACAGAGCACACAAAATCCAATAAGGCTGGAGTGTATAAATGGTTATCTGAAAAGTCTTCTCACTTCTGTTTATGGCTTATCTACTATGTACAATTGTAGTTGTTTGGGGCTCGTCAATAATTTTGTTGTTGGACTTGTTTCAAAAGTGCTTTCTGCGTTTGTATTGGGGTTCGTGCGTGCATGTAGTAAGAAAACAGCAACAGCAACAACAAAACGATAATCGAATACGTGCCTCTTAACACTGCACACTCACTTCAAATCAATGGAATTTTGTTGAAATAACAAAACTTGTTTCTTTAACGTTTTCTTCAATTTTATTTTGCAACCCGTAATTTGCATTCGTTTTCTTCAGTATTTTTTTTTTTTTTGCGCGGCACGTTATATCTGCAATAATTTCAAATAACGAACTCGATCTTGTGCGCAATAAACCTCTTCCTACGGGTGCTTGTTGTAAACTGAAACGTAAGAAAATATTTTGCTGATTTGGGTTTTGAAAGTATGAATTTGGGTTGTGTGGCATGTGTTAAAGCACTACAAAATCATAAGCGGTTAAGTTGGCACTTGAAGATAAATTTTTATGCTTCTAAAGACTGGTTTCGTTCTGTGCTAATGAATGAAGAAATTTCAATGATTTTTTATGTATTAGTAAAAGTACTAATAATTATTGTTAGTCATGTGGTTTGTTAGTATTGTTATCAAATTATGCAAAATTATCTACTCAGAGCTACATTCATACATATATGAGTTTGTATAATTCTTATCATGTATACAAAAGAGATAACGGCTAACAAGATAACAAATAACTATTAACGATGACTCAGCTGTTGGTATGGTCAATTAGCTACGCACTGCGGGTACAGAGATATATTTCCTGTTAGAGATAAGCTGTAGTTGTGCGAGTCTATGAACACTATTAATAGCAAAGTTAATCCTTTACACACAGCTATTAGTTGCACGAGTCTGTAATATACAAAATTAATCCCTTAATCTCAGAAGTGTACAATAGAAATCACTTGCTAAAAATGATCTTAACAAATTTCATAGTGGAGCAGTAACTAATTATATGTAGAAAAACATTGAAAATTAATATGACATTCCGTTTCAGTTTATTACATATATCTATGTATAAAACTCTAATCTGCTTAAAGTTTTCTTAGATTCCGACATGGACGTAGTTAAGAAAGCATATGCGACGGTGGATTCCTCTAAATGTTATATACAAATTATTATTTCATAATATAAAGAGGTCCTATAGAAGATTGGACTCACCTAAATGCAATGTAAGGTGAACTAGTTGTACAGAAATAGCAGCTGAACTGTATACAATTGAAAATTTCAGTTGATTTGACGTTTTCTTTTGTTCCTCTAGTTTTATCTGCGGAAATATTTCTTTCACCATCAATATACTGTATTCTGGCGATGCCCATGGACTCCGTACTGAACTTTTAAGCTGATATGTGGTTTCAAAAACTTTCCTAATATTAACTATAATCTTAAATTATACTAATAATAACTTTGACGTCACTTTAATTGGCTCATTATGATTATGAGGCGCCTTATGCGTCAACATAGAAATAAATATCATTTTAATTGCTTAAAATGGTACAAGTACGTCAAAATTTCAAACCATTTTTTTTTCAATGAAATATATTCATATACTTTTATTTAGTTATTAAAAATTAACCTAAACAAGTCTCTGTACACGCCCCTGTATATGTGGTATTTCACTTCAGTTCTGAGAAAAAAAAGCGAAATAATAAAGAAGATAAACTTAACAATAAACGGTGTTAAGTATTTATTAAAAACTTATTTGTTAAGTAAACAGTCCTTCGTTTGATAAAATACCAATCTTCAACTGATCCATTCTAAAGGTGTCAACAGGTGTACTCGAACCATAAACCTGTGTAATGTAAATATGAAAACATTTTTAAATACATTTTTATTTTTAAAACAAATAAAATACTTCAAATTTGCAGATGTGTACGTGTACTTTAACACATATCCATTGACAAACGAAAATTTTCATTTGGTAAACGCACCATATGACTTTTTATGGTATGTAACGTAGGGTATATTCAAGACTCACAATTATCAATTCATAGGCCTAAACACTAAAAATCTGTTATACACATGCCAGAGCACGTTTCTTTTTATTTGCTTTTGGGTAAAGGTTTTTTTTTTGCCTCCTTACTCACGTTTTCTACAGATTTCACACGTTTTCGGTGTTGTTACAACATCACATTTTGATTCGCCGCAAACTACATGTGTCCTCTTTGCCTCTGCAACTACTTTTCCATAGTCAACTCTACATACATATATATATATATATATATACAGTGTACACAACCATAAATGTGTGCTTAATGTGTTTAAAATAGTATATAAAACAGTTGCATATAGAAGGCAAATAAATAAGTTGAGGGGCTCGTCACAAGCTCGTGTGTTAGTATTTGTGAATCGAATGTTTAGCACACAAAAAATAATAAATTCCTTAATTCTTTTTTTTTTGTTTTTTGTGTTTATACTTTGGACTTCTCATGGCATATTTTTTTTGTGTAAACACTGTATAGCAAGTTGATGACGTAGTTGAGATGTGTATGTATTTGTGTCTACAAAAGTGCACACTTCCGAAGTTGGTGTTCTATTCTTTGAATAATCAAATTCAAATTATCGCGCAATTACGAGTTCATGCCGTAGATTCGGTTATGTAAATACAATTGAGATTACACATAAACCAATCAATAATTATGGTTTACAAATATTTTATAATTACAATATATAATATGTGTATTGAAATATCGTAATTAGTTTTGCGGTTATGCGATATAAATACTTTTTAAAAAATAAAATATCTATAGACATATACATATGTATGTATACTTAGATACATACAAATGAAAACTGATCATAAATCAATTTGACTTTGATTGTCATATTTTTTTAGTCAAAACAAATATTTTATGATATTTTAAGCCGAATTGGCAATATATATTTATACATATTGTAGGTTTTCACGTGATATACAAATTATATGACGACAGTTTTTTGTTTTGTCTTTAAAAATGCGTCAATACACCCACCACATTGCGAATTTATGTAGTCGCTGTTTGTATCAGAAATAGATTTTCCCAATATAAATAATGGAAATGTACCAGAAATCGTTCGCACATTTTTATACAACACATACACATCAATATATATACATATATAAACACACATTTGGATTGCAGAAAAATTTTTTGGAACATGTGAAAATTAATGTCAAGCTTCAAAGAAGTTAAAAAAAATAAACACGCTAAATTCCCGCTAATTATATATTCTGGTCATATTGCCAGCAAAATTTAATATCCCATTATCGCACATTAATATCAAAATTAGTCTATGTTGAACTTTAAAAGCTACATTGTATTGGAGATGTTAAAGTGTTAATATCGTCATTAAAGCGGGTATTTTTTTCAAAAACTCTCTGATGATCGTAAATTTAATTCTTATATGGGGGAATACCCATGTAAATAGGATTGCCAAAAGGTTTGCAATTAAAAGAAATAAAGAATGCCTTACGTTTGAAAAACATATTAAACCGTAGCTATAACCGAATATACTAATTATTATTGGTTTATTATTTCTTTGTTTAATAATTGATCATTTGGCTTATTTACAAATCCATCTAACCTAAAATAAGTTTTATCATAATACGTTCGCTTAACAGAATCGTATATTATAATAAATGTTATTCATTGTAATAATAATTCAAAATTAACTGATTGTATACATATTCAAAAAAATAGTAAAATTTAAATTATAATAAATTCATGTTAGCTTAAATATACTCTAAGAAGAATCTGATTTTAGTCAGTAAAAATGAACTATCGTAATATAATTAACCCAAAAAAGTTTGTACCCTTAATAAGATTATCTTTTTAATTACTGTCAATTAGTCTATGCCACGATTATTATTTGAAATATTGATCATTCTTAATAATGATAACTCCACATCCATACCACATTATTTTTGCCTAATGCTCCCATGTTAATAAATATAGGCATTATTAAATATATTATTTGTTTTAATGAAATTAGTATCAGATTTGACAATTTTTGTTACTTTGTCATGCTCTACTTTAATATTGTTTTAATTTACTTTAAGTCATTTCTATAGAATTGTATGTTTTCTTCAGTGTATAAAGTACAACATATAGGATTTTCTCTAACCACCAACTCCCAAAAGCTTTAATATAAAAATAAAAGATTATTAATATATTATTTGCATATAAGAATGATTAAATTAGAATCGGTTA